GTCCATCTTCCCTGAGTTCCCCATGCTTCAACCCCTTCCCTTGTACTCACCCAGCTCAAAGATGTAAAAAGTGATCCCCTTCTAGTAACCTGAAGGCTGCCATCTCACAGATGGAGGGAAGATCACTGGAACATTCTTCAGGCTGAAGATCTTGCCGATGTGCATAAAGTTGTAGCTTAGCACATTTTGGGTTTCTTAGCCAAAACCTGTACAGTTGTACAGTTGAACCACAGTCAGCTCTGGACCCCCTCCTTCCTATCATCCCTTCTCCGATTGCCCTGGCATAAAGTCTAACCCAAGTCCTAACTCGCTTCACCTACGCATACACAGTTCATGCCTAAGTGACCTCAGGGACCAGTGGCTGAACTCCAACCAGACCAGGCTTTAGGAGCAGGCAAGGAGTTGATCCTCTCTTAAAGTGACCCCAGCACTCCCTGGTTCACTTCTCTGGGACAGCCCTAGCACCCTGAGTGGCCCTGACTGACAAAGTACAACACAATGTGGACATTTTTGTCAAGGGATGGGGAGTTAGGTTAGGGGCATCAGGGTTATTCATCAGCTGTGAAATCCTAGCTCAATCCTCAACTTCTGGGAGAAGATGCAAAAATGATGGCAACCTAGTAATTATCCCAACAAAAACAAAAAATTGCATGCACTGGGGATAGAATAGAGCACAAACTGCTCTAAATAGTTACTGATCAAGTAGAGGAAATGAACAAAAAGATTATTACAGTATGAATGTGTTACAGTTTTGGGGAGCAAGACCAGGGAAGGACATCTTACTATGCCCTTAAGAAGAGAATATGGAGTTACCCAAGAGCCCTAACAAACTTACCCTTGGAATGGTGTGCCATCAATCCACTGCCAGGTCTTATTGAAGCTGAGGCCAACCCAACATGAACCAGATAAATAATCATGTGATGACAACAGCTGCTTACAGATTTCTTTGATTTCTTTGGAATATTCATTCTGAGAGAAATTCAAAGAGACATAAGGTGTGTGGAGAGTGTTGAGAAATAAGAAAATGAACATTTCTAGGGAGGCCTGTGAGCTTTGACAAGGGGGTTTGTCCCTGCAGCTTTCACGTGTTACCCTGTAGGTGAAGGCTCACCCTTTAGTTCACCTCCCAACTGGGGGAGAATCTGTCAGCCTTTGGAAAGGGGCCATTTGGTGGATTTTCTGGTCCCAGGGAATCCATCCCTACAATACAGCCCACCCCGTATGGATATTTTCCCCTGAGAGGCCATGAGAGTTGAAGAACCTGTTCAGTAACCCAGAGAGCTGACCATAAAGCTAGAATGAGAAGTTAAAGCAGAATCGGTTCATAAATTTCAGCTCTTAGCCAACTCTTTATCAGTTAGTAGAAGCCACCTGGAGCACTCAGCTGTGATGATACACAGACTGTTTCCAGGTTCACAAGCAAAGAGCATTGTGTTTATTAGTATATGTGTATGGAAAAGAAAGGGAAAGTCTGGCATTGCTTGAGGACGTATGTCCCTCTACCTAACTGACCCAACCCAGCCTGTGGATAAGGGTATTCTTACTGTGTATTGGTAAGTCTGTCTCCATTTCACCAGGTCAGAGGACTTATCTTTGCAATGCTTTCGGCTGTCCTCCCAACTTCTCCGAACAGGTGAGAAGTAAAAGCAACTGTCCCTCTTCTGAATCCATCCCACAGGGCAGCATACTAAAAAGCGAAAGAGCATAGTACCGTCAGGACCAAAGAGAGTGGCAGTACCGTCAGGACCAAAGAGGGTGGCAGTACCGTCAGGATCAAAGAGGGTGGCAGTACCGTCAGGACCAAAGAGGGTGGCAGTACCGTCAGGATCAAAGAGGGTGGCAGTACCGTCAGGACCAAAGAGAAAGGTCTCTGCACTCTTTTTGGATGAAAGTGACCACTCTGCAGCAATCTGCTAACAGTATTCCCCTGGTGTAAACTCAGCACTATCATTGACTCCTAGTTCTTGACCCTTGTGCTCTTTCTTTTACCTCCCCTGTAAATACTAGACCTGTGTACACTTAGTAAAAGTCTTTTAACATTTCACAACACCGACTTCTAACAATCTGGGAGGTTTATTTTGATAGGGCTGTCATTATCCCCAATTTCTGATCAATTACAGTCCACACACATCCTCATTTTGGCTAACCTTTCCTTGTTAAGTGCCATTGAGTCGGTTCCTACCCATAGTGACCCTGTATAGGGTTTCTGATGAGCAGCTGATGAGCTTGAACTGTCGACCTTGCAGTTCAAACAGCTTTGCAGTCTGGCGCATTAACCCACAGCGTCACACCAGGACTCCTGGGCCCCCATAATTGTTTGTTGGCCTCTAATTCATCTCACTAGTTTCCTAAAGCATCTCCCACTGCAAAGGCAAAAAATGTCCACCATCCTCAGGTCAACCACCTCCTTCCTTCTCCACTCTTCCATAAGCTGATAGATAACTTGGTTCCTTCTCTTTACCTCAAAATTTATGTCTCTGTTCCTCTTTTCCTGATTATGCATAGAAATAAGCACCCCTCTTTAAAATGTCAATCACAGCCCAAACTGTGCTCCTGATCCCAATTCCACCCAAGTCTCTCCAACACTGTTCCATCAGTGCTACCTCCAGCACTCAAGTCATTCCCTCTCTTCTGCCTACATTTCCACACCTCCACTCAGCTACCCACTTGTGTCTTACGGCAACTTCAAGGAATGAAAAGTCCAGTGTGGTTGGATCAAAGAGGGTAAGTGGGTAAGTGGTATGCTGAAGGGCCTTGGAGACCATGCTCTGGATTTGTGTTTGGTATGTTACATAGATGAGAAAGTCCATGTAGAGTTTTCTATAGAGGTGTTTTATTCATTGATGGAGTAGCAGTTTAAGGGTTCCTGCTGAAAGTGAGGGCATGTTGCAGACCGGGTAAGCTTGGTCAGAGGTTCGAGGCCCTATAGGCCCGAGTGTAACAAATGAGGCCACTGGCAGTCAATAGCAAATTGTTTTTCATCTTACTATTCAGTTACATGTATTAATTTAATACAAGAAGCCCTTGATAATCCACAGATAAATGTGATATTTTCCTAAAGCCCAGACTGTAAAGGTTGCAAGGTCAAGCCTTTGTCCAAAGGATTAACTAAAAACATCTTAGCTACTTCACAGTTTTTTCTTCTACAGACAAAAAAGCCATCCTCCCTGAATCTCTCCCAAGTGTTAGCTATTCAACCAAGTTCCTGAAAACCTGGCTCAGGAAGCCTAAACAGGGGGACTCCACCCAAGCTTTTGTCCTTACCTCTCACCTTCCCCCACCTGAGCTCAGGGGCTATAGATATGTTAATTGGGCCTGAGAATCCAAGTTGCTGGCCTGGGATTTGAACCAGCGAAGTACGATGTAAAGTTACCTGAATGTCTGGAAAAGTACTGATGTTAGCTGTACCTTGCCTAAGTCCCTCCCAGCTTGGTGTGAAGCTCCTCCCCTAAATAAAACAGAGGCCCGGGCCTCCCCAGGTGTGCATTATGGGTTGGAAGGCATGCAGTAAAGATTGCAGTGCATTACAAGATGGAGGGCATGCAGTAAAGATTGCAGGGCAGTGAGTTGCTGCCTGCAGAGGCCACGACGCCTGTAGTCCCAAGCCTGCCCACCAGTGACGTATCCACCCTGGCTTTGGGGTACCTCATTGTCCCCTTTCTTCTGTCTGTGTATATCTCTACCGCCACCAGGTATCTCCTCCTCGTGAACCGAACCCCTATGTCGAGGCAAGTCCCCAACAAGGGCAAAAGAAGTGGGGTGAGGGGTTCTTATGTGGAGCAAACTCACCACCCCAGGGGTTGCCAGGCAGTGCTGAGACCCTAGCTGAGGTTGGAGACTAGTGTGTCAATGGCACCAAATAGAGTGATTGCAACTTTTGTCACACCTGGGTACAGACATGCACAGGTAGGCAGTTGAGTTCATCCAGAGTTGAGATTCTGCTAATCAGAATGATGAAACCACAAAGTGGTTGAAGTGATGGACTCAGAATTCAATAAAGAAGTGAGGGCAGAAAACCATGGATGGGGAGGGAGGAAATGTGAGTTAGTGGATGGTGACCTTGGTGAGGTGGGGAAAGTGTGGGGAAGGGTGGGCAGCTGTTCTCAGAGTAGAAGGCTGAAACAGTCCTTTCATCTGAAAAGACCAGCAATAATTGGCATGGAAGCCAGCATCAAAGAGGATAAGGAAGTTAAGGGATTGAGGACGTCTTCACGTAATCTTGCTGTCTCAGGACTGCAGGTCTAGATAGAAACTAACCTTAACCATAGATAACTACTCCATAAACTCTTCTGTCTTCTAGGAACCCAGCCTGCTTTGGCACAGCCTTTCCCCTTTTATGCAAAACCTTCTTTCATCCCCACAGACTGGCTGGGTTCCTATTTCCAACATGAATGAGCGCACCTCCCCAGCTCCCTAAGCCACAATATACTCCATCCACACCATTGTGAGTGCCATTCATTCATGAGAACATCAGCTGCCTCATCCCACCACCAGGTAGCAATACATAAATCAGTAATTTTTACATTTTGGGGGGCGGGTTCAAATGTATTGAGAATCTAACTAAAGCTATTTATCTTCTCTCTAGGAACATGTACAAAATAAAATTACTTATGCAAAGAAAATGTGCAGACAGCCAATTTCACATCCAAATTCAGGGGGTTCCCAGATCCTTAAGGGACACATGTCATGACAGATGATACCTGAGTTTATCATGCTGCTTTGGACAGTGTGGTTTGGATTGCTGGCTGCCACTGTCCTCCCCCACTCCTAGGTCTGCCGTAGATCTGGATGGTGGTGGTGTTAAGTGCCATTGAGTTGGTTCTGACTCATAGTGACCCTGTACAGGGTTTCTGACGAGTGGCTGGTGAGTTTGAACCACCAACCTTACAAATCAAATCGACCTTAAGGTCCAGTGCTTATCCTGTGGTGCCAGATTCCCCTTAATCCAGTGTGCCCCTTCTTCCTATGCAATTTGTGCCAGCCACCACTGGTTTATGAGCTCATTTCCCCAACAACTCACTGCCCCCCTCTGATACATAGCTAGACCTCCCACCACTAGCGGCTATTCTCTTCAATCCATGCCTCCCAGCAGCCTCCTCCCAGCTGTCCCCAGAGCAGATACCTGATGAGGAACATACAAAGAAGGGCTTCATTTTGTCCCTCAGTGTGGCCTGCATGCTGTTCAGCCTCTGCTCCAAGCTGGCCTGCTGCACCTCTTTCCTCCGCAGGGTCTCCTCTGTCTCCTCCCTTTGGGACTGACAGGTCTGTAACTGCTCTTTAGCATTCTCTCGTTCTGACTGTAGTGCTTTCTGACTCTGTGCCAGCTCCCTCCTGGACCCTTCCAGCTCCTCTTTCCTCTGCCCCAGCTGGGTTGTTTGTAGGTAGAGCTGTTGGCGAAGGCTGCTATTGGTGGCTTCCAGAACCCTGTCCATCTGCTGGAGATGCTGAGACACCTGCAGATCTATTTGGTCAGAAAGAAAGATTTTGAGAGCATCTTCACCAAATATACCATTGACCAACATCAGCATCAACCCCGTTATTGCTTCTTACACAATGAGCTGAAACATAATGTCTGACTGCCTAAAGTTTAAAAAGGTCCTGAATAAGGTGAGGACAATTGATGACATGGAGCTTTAAAACAAACCTGACTAGAAACTAAGCCAAAAGCTACAGGTTTACTGACAAGAAAAATACAAAACAATATAGGCAGACCCACTGATTACTACAAGAACAAACAAATGGCTCACCAAGGCAAGTGGTCGGGTCCCCCTCAGGGCAAACCTCCTTCTAAGACTAAGACTCAATGGGAATACACTCTCTGATTGGTGACCACGTTCATCACCAATAAAGGGAAGCGAGGGAAAAGCAACAATGAAGCTGCTAGCTAAGCCTTACAATGTTCAATAGTTTCCTGTGAACACGGCTGGAGACCTGGTTGGCCAGCAGTGTTGCAAGTCCAGGGGACTCCTGGACCCAGAGTCAGTGACATAGCCACAGAGGACTAGAGTGGAGAGTGAAGCATCCAACTGATAAGAAGAGAGGGCACATGCATAAGTACACCCACACTCGCAGATAATACCCATTTGACCTGGCTTCAGTGACTGGATGATCAGAACTCAACCAGAAAAAGAAAGAAGAGGGAAAAAAGAATAATCTGATATAAATTTGATAAACTTAACCTACACCTATGGAAGCAGTAGTTCAAAAGAGGGAACAAATCTTCACAGTGAGGATCATTCCCACCCCTCCACACATGGAGAGGACAGGGATGGGCAACTTGAACACTGGCTACACAGAATGGAGGGGCTACAGAGGCAAGAAGTGACTGGCTTACAAGCTTTCAAGAGGGAACCTAGATCCAGAGGGTGTGGAGCAAGGTAGAATCTCCACTGAGTAGTATTCAATCTGTCTAGGCTGGACTGATGAAAGGAAATGCAGATAGGTCTCTTGTGATACAATGGTGAATAATTGTTATCAGAACTGATTGTAAGGGCTGGAAATGTAAAGGTAGATGTTTTGTGGCAAAGGGAAGGGAGTGATTAACTTTGCAGTCTAGGAGTGGAGGTCCCTGGGACCATCAAGGGAGAAGAGCGGAGAATAGAACCCTACCCAGAGAAGCAGTGATGCCTGAGACGATGATGACGTGGAGAGATAGAGACACTGGCGACTCTGGTCCGGGACAGGGAGAGGCGCTGGGGGGGGGGGGGGGCGGGGAAGGGGCAGGCTTGTGGAGTATACCCTTTGGTTGATGGATGATGCTTGGAGGGTATTGTAACCATAGCAAGGAAACGATATACGATGGGATCAATGTGAAGGTAATGTCCTCACATGTAAACTATCACATAATTCACAATAAAGCATTAAAAAAGAAAAAAAAAGCTACAGGTTTGGTGACAGTGACTACAGGGTCTGCTGAGGAAGGGTGGTTGTTTGGGGGAGGGCAAGGAAAACGCTGTTTAGGGGTAAGTGGGTTATGGGGAGCAACCATACTCACAGCGCACTCCCAGGCAGATGGCGGCCACTCCTAACAGCAAGCAGATGAGGAGCAGGCCGGCGAGGAGGTAATGTGTGTAGGCTGCACAGCCTTAGGGAAAGTGGAAAGAGGAAGGGCAGTCAGTCCCAGGAAGGCATTTATAGACTGAAGGTGAGGGAAGAGGATGCTCCAGGAATGAGCACCCCTATCAGAAGGGTGGTGTAGCCTAAAGGTGGGTTTTATGGGGTAGTGGAAGTGTTCCAGAGTAAAGGCTGGGGATTCAGACAGAGTGGGTAACGAGTGGTACATAAATTGGGGCCCAGGAAGAGTCTAGGTCGACTTACTGAATGATCAATATTGGGATGGGGTGAAAGAACCACGAAAAGGTCACGGTGCTCGGGCTCCCTCCCGGCTGATCCACCCCAGCGCAACTCCGCGCGAGCACTTCCCTCCCGGTCCCCCTCGCCTGCTCACGGTGTCTCTGTGGCGGGGAGGCCCAGGAGGGAAGCCGGCCTGCAGCGGCCAAGCGAGATGGAGATCGCGAGTGCGCGGCGTGGGAAGTAGATGCCACTCACAGGGGAGAACCCGGCCGGTGGCTGCTGACGTCACCAAGCTACAGGAGGCAGGTGGCTGCTCCGACTTGACCTCTGTGGATTGGGAACGGCTCCAGATGGCCGATGCGAAGCACCAGGAAATGCTCCTCACCCCCTCACACAGCCCCGCCCCTACCCCACCCCCTGTACTCTCTACAGTTCAGCTGGGACATCTTCGTCTCCACCAAACTTCCTTCTTACCTAGGCCTTGTCTTTTACACAAGGACCCCTCATCTCTTCCCTGGGCCTCCTTTAGCACTTCTTCAGGGTCCCCTATCTGCCCACCCCAAACTCTCTCCTTGATATCATTCCCACTCTCTTTCATGACTTCATTAGAACTTGTCTCCCCAAGAGCTGCCCTGATGCCTCTTCAGAGTCCTCCTCTTCTCTTTGGGTTCTCCCACCTTGTCCCTGGCATCTGGATTTTTCTCCTGGCTCCCATTTACCCAGTTCTCATTTTTCTCTTTCCTTAGCAATCCTTCCTCTCCCCAAGGGTATTGTCCTCTCCAGCTCAAGACACAGTACCCCAAACACAGATCCTCTGGGTGCTCCATACCTCCTTTGTCCCCTAATCCAGATGGAGCCAAGCCCACTGGCCACTCTGGAGCTGAGGGCACTTGGACATTCTCATAGGTGAGCTCCCCATCCTCGTAAGCCTCTGAGTCTGGAGACAAGAGAAAGGAAGCCAGATGGAAACCAGGAGGTGGGGTCCTGAAGGAGGTGGGCATGCAGGCAGAAAGCACTCATCCACTCTCACCCTCTTCTTGCCAGGTGGAGATGCTCTTCTTCAGGGGTGCCTTCACAAAGCGCAGGTCTGCATAGGTGATAGCATCGGCCATGGTCCTGAGCCCCTCTGCACACCCCCGTCTTGTTCTCTTGTCTACTGTCCCACATCCGACTCTGTCTTTGTCTCTTAGGTTATGTGACCGCACACAGATCATTGCTTAGCCCTGTGACTTCCAGTCACAAAAGAGGAAGGTGTGAGCAAGTCTCCACCAGATGGGTTCAGTGAAGCAGAAGTCGTCCCTGGGCCTGGGCCAAGGGGCAGAGGAGGGGAAACTAAGGGTCAGCGATGGGGTTAAGGACTGAGAGTGTCCAGGCCTCTATATCTGCCTGATCATGTCCTCCCTGTGCTTCCTTTCATACAAACTAGATCTTCTTCAGCAATGTTGGCCTCCAAATGCCTATCCTCCTGATTGCCTTGATTGCCCCCTCCCCTCCTAGCTTCCCAGTCCACTGGGGCTTAAGGCTGTATAGTCAGAGCTCTTTTGTACCCAGCTGACCCCAGAGGATCCCAGTCATTGCTCCAGGGTGGCGTTCCATCATCCCCATCAGATTGGAAGTCTTAGTATGGGTCCCAAGCTCTCAGTCATCACGGGGTTCTTCCAGTGGGTTCCTAGAAAAGAGTCCCTGGATGTGGTGGATCCCCATCTGGTGCTCATCTCTCTATAGCTTAAAGGTTTTCAGGGTGGGCCCAGCTCCCTTCCTGCTGTAGCCCCACAAAATTGCTGAGGATTCCTGCCCCTCCCTGCTACAGCGAAGTTCTCATTCCAAATCCATTTCTGGGAATGCCGCAGCCCTTTCAGGGGATGCAAGCGACCTAGACTATTTCTCTTCTGTAAATACCCCAGAGTCCCTCTTCAGAACTGTTCCCTGCCCCTCCAGGGAATACGAAGGGCTGGGATAAAACAAGGCATAGAGGTGGGGAAAATCCACCCCTGTTTCTCTCCTGTGACCAGTCAGACCCTTCCTCTGACCATCTTGCCCCTGCTAGTCTTATGGCACCCATATAACAACTGAGCTGGTCTGCTAGATTCAGAAGCGGGAACACAGAAGACAGAGGTCCAGGAATAGCTTGAACTTGGGGTGAGGGTGTAGGATCCCACAGGGGCCTTAGCACTGGCAACCTCAGAGCTTGTGCTCTGGAGAGACCTCCTGTGCACCCTTGTGGGATGAGGAGCAGAAGGACTGCCCAGGGATTAAGATGAGTTGTAGCTTTCTAGACAGGTGGGGCAGGGAAACAAAGCCAGGCCGGGAGTTGAATGTGCAGACTCTGGATGAGTCAAGATTTGTATATGTTCTTGTCTTGGTTTTCCTCTTAGTATCCTAGTAAAGTTCATTCTGAAAAGTCTCAACATAGTCTTTTCACACCCAGTCCCAAGGAACAAGGGGCATTTGGCAAAATTGAGAAGGATCCAGTGGCTAAAGGGAAGGGTTTGGCTGATAGGGAATAGAGGGATGCCTGGGAGGGGAGAAGGAGCTGCTGAGGAATAGCCCTGGAGATGTTGTTGTTAGGTCCTATCAAGTCGGTTCCAATTCATAGTGACCCTATGTACAGCAGAATGAAACACTGCCTAGTCCTGTGCCTTCCTCACAATTGTTCCTATGTTTGTGCTCATTACTGCAACTACTGTGTCAATTCATCTAATTCAGGGTCTTCCTCTTTTTCACTGACTTTCAACATGCTATCCTTCTCCAGAAACTGTTCCCTCTTGGTAACATGTTTAAAATATTCCATCCTTGCTTTGAAGGAGCATTCTAGCTGTACTTCTTCCAAGACAGATTTGTTGTTTCTTCTGGCAGTCCTGTGTTCAATATTCTTTGCCAACACCATCATTCAAATGCATCAATTCTTCTATAGGGAACCTCAAAGGGACCTACTTCTTGGGAGTGGGAAGGACTGGGATAAAACAAGGCAGAGAGGTGGGGAAAATCCACCCCACAGTGGTGACATCTGCCCCCTCAGAAGCCCCTTCTGCAGCTGTGGGGAGGAGAAAGGGAAGGGGAAAGAGGTTCTTACCACAGTCTAACAACTTTTATTGCATATTTGGTCATGTGTGGTATGGCACTGTGATGGGCTCCACCACTGAGAAAGTGCCCACTGAGGCACGCACCTGAGGAATATGTGTGAGGAGACACAGGTATACATGTGTAGAAGCACATATGCCCAACTCTTTGCAATCTGCTCCCAGTGTGTCTGTGTAAGGTGAGTATGTCAAAGCCTGCCTGGAGGATTAAACACAGGAGGTCAAAAGTGGTCTCTGATTGTTTGTTTTTTCTGGGGCAGGGAATGATGGACCATTTTTATGAAGGTCTTAAAGGTCATGGTAACAGGTCCTACAAGTATTTCCTTTTTAAGGCTCATGTTCCGTGAGGTGTCCCTGCAGCTGTTAACCGTCCTGGCTTTGTTAACGTTTCCAACAACTCACCACACCCACTCTGCCAGGGCCTCCCCCATATAACAGTGTGTGTTGGTGTCTCCCTGGGGGCCTCAGGGGCCTGTGATGGTGAGTGGGATGTGATAGAGCAGCTGGTGGCAGAGTGGGTGGGGGAAGCCAGTACACTTATGTTTGTGGTGTAGGGATGGGTGGGTGGCTGTGGCCAATGTGTGTACCAGCTCTGGGAACACATATGCCATCAACTATAGATCATGTCCCAGTGTTCAAGACTGATACACAGATGAACATTACCTGGATGCCAGATAAAATGTTAAGATGGAGCTCCCAGGGTGTACCCTGAAAAACTATCAGTGGGCTTATCACCTAACTTGGTCATTGGAGAGGCTTAAGAGGGGAATTAGGGTACCCAGATGAAGCTGGGATGAATTAAATTCCACACCAAGCCCCAGGACGGGAGCGGTCCTCTGAGATTTTAAGCAGGCTTGACCTCCAGTTCTCTCCTCTTTGGTTCATTTGGTGATGAGTGTATGTCTCCTTATGACATCCTGTATTTCATTCTCATAGAGCATCACATAGCCTTCTTTTGTGAATATATATATAAACAGGATTCTTCCCCTTCTCCGTGTGTACCACACAGGACCTTTGCAATACTGATGCCTGTAACTGCTCAACTGTCAGAAACTCCCAGGGGCTCTTAAGAGCCAAGAGCCAATACTGCACACCTCAGTATTTCCAGGACTGTAATACCACCACCTGAGACCTCAGAGGACAAACACCAAAACCTTTTCGTGCCTAGCTTCTCCACAGCCTGTTAGAGGGAATGGAGGCAAAAGGAGGGGATCCCACAGTGATGACATCTAGAAAGAATTTTTGATATGGAAAGGGGTTCATCTTGGTGAAGTCTGGCCAACGCTAGAAAATCAAGAATGTCTCCTAAAAGTCTGGAAGTCAGATTCTCTCTCTAATCCCAATCACATGAGTCTTTGAAAGGGAGCAGCTTTCTCAGCTATAAAAAGAGAAAGATTCCATGATGGAAGAAGAGTTAGATGCAATGTGAGAAGGACTCAGCCAGCCCATTGCTGACTTTAAAGATGGAGGAAGGGGGGATCATGAGCCAGGGAATGCAGGCCGTCTCTACAAACTGAAAAAGACAAGGAAACATATTTTCCCCTAGAGCCTCCAAAAAGGAACACAACCCTGCTGACACCTATCTGTTAGTCCAGGGAAACTCATATTGAATTTCTGGCCTCCAGAACTGTGAGATAATACATTTGTATTGTTTAAGTCATTAAGTTGGTGGCATTTCATGACAGCAGCAATAGAAAACAAATACACAGGGGTCTGCTAACTTTCCTGAACCATGGAGGAAGCATGATGTAATGGAAAGAGCACATTACTAGAGGTAAAGAAGCCAGTCCCAATTTCCAAGGTTTTCATCAGTAAAATACAGATGGTCTAGACAATGTCTGATATCAATCAAGATGTAATTGCTGAAGACATAGTAGGTCTAGACTTTAGTAAAATCCTCTTCTAAAGTCTGACACATTAGCTTTGGAGACAGGTGGGAGCCACATGGGCCACACAATAGCACTTTGAATGGGATTTGTAGCTCTTTGAATCACTGAAACAAAAGAATGCCACCAGTGGCTTACCCAGGCCTCTCCTTGGTCCTGTCTTATATACTGACAGAGAAAGCACATTCATATTTCCTGCCACCAGAGCTAAAGAGAAAAGCAATACACTGAGCGACAAACTCGAGATGCAAATATGATGACTCCAAACCACAGAATAAAATGTAAATGAAGGTGAATAATAAGCTAACATTTTTGAAAATTGGAATTCAGGGTCCAAAAAATAAATTACACAAGCATAGGATGGAGGGAGACCTGGCTTAACAATAGTTTATACAGAAACCATCAGGGAAGGAAAGATAGTTACCAGACATCTTAGAGCTGGAAGGGTGAACCCAACCCATTTATTTTTCAAATTAGGGAATTGGATTTCTTGCCTGTAAGTTCAACTGTGAAACTAGGCTAGGACTCCAGTTCCTTTACCAAATGTGTCATACATTGTGCCAGGCTCTTTTAAGGTGGCAAACTCCTGCTGATAAGGCAACTTGAGACCCTGGAATTTGTGACATCAGATTCTGATCTCAGGTGATTGAAATAACCAAGTGGGCAACTGATCCAAGACTCGGCCAGTCCAGAGACTAGCCAGTGGTCTATGGGATGGCCTGGTCTCAAAGTCAGGGATGATATACATTTACCAAGCTTTCATTCTCAGTAATTTAGGAAAGATACGGAGATGATCACTCAGTTAGCAGTGGGAACTGAAAGTGAAAGGCTAAAGAGAGAGTCTTCCACAGAGTGGGCGTCCACCCCTTAAGCTGTTGTGCCAGACTGCTCTCTCTCTAGTGGAGAATGATGGTCCTGGCATGGGTAAGGAACCTGATTATCATCAGGAGATAGGGTTGCTGTTACTAAATGGGAGTGGAGGATTGTCTCGACAGTCCTGCCCATGATTATCTATGAATGAGCAACTGCAGCTACCACAGCCTGAAAAGGGCAGAGTAATCAGGCCTCAGACTCCTTGGAAATGAAGGCCTAGGCTACCCACCAGGCAAGCAATTTAAAACCAGCAAGATGTACTATCTGAACACCAGGAGAGTCTGG